TAGTATTTCAACACATTACTTTCATAGCATTAAGGAATTATATAGAATCTTTATTTTCAGATAGACATTGTAAGAATTTTTTTTCTTTGCAAAAAGGAAGGATGATTAATGCCATTACAAAGAAAGTTTATGAGAGAAATAAAAATATTTCTCTGTGGGTGGGAAGTGTTTCTTCAACATTCAGTCAAATGTAGACACAATAAAACATCCACACCATGCACAGCCTCACTCTGCCTTAAAGTGGCATTCATGGCAGGATTTCAGAATGAAGAAGAGCTTGCACCCCAAACACTGTAGGACGCTTCCCTCTGCTACGGGGAAAGAGCACGGCCGTGTGTGGGATGGGGGTGGGGATTCCCGCCTCGCTCTGCAAGCCTCCACCTCATGGATGGTTCTCGAATACGTCATACAGAATTCAGACCTGTGAAAGTCCTTCCAGTAATGGAAGATGGGACATAGGAAGAAGTCATCCCATCATGTTCTTCTTGCAAAAGTAAGATGGAGAAATGAGAAAAAAATGGAAAATTAGTTTCAAGAGGGAAAGGCTAACTCTAGGCAGGGATACGGAAATGTAGAATTTCAGAGTCGGAAGGTTCCTTACATTTGATGGAATCTGACACTTGCGTTGTACGTATGAGGAGACTGAGGCTAAGGAAGGTAAAGCGTGTGACACAGTTTGTGAACAAGGTGAATGTGGAGGACACTTCTGCACTGACGTTCTTCCACACGTCCTGAATCTACCAGACTCAGCCGCTGCGGCCCCTCTCAGTTGCATCCAGGGAAGTGGATTTGGGCTGCGAGTTTACAATAATTGGTACTTAGTAGCTGTGTGACTGGATGAAGGTTACCCAATGTCTTAGGCCTCAGTTTACCCTTGGAAGGAAGGGTGGTCGTTGTCTCTGTGTCAGGAACCCAGACGCCTGTGCCTCCTGGGAGGGACGCTGGAACACGCCTTCCATCCAGCCCTGTGCTGTCCTGATCTCAAACTACATCTTAAAGTGCTTTATGGGGAAGGGACACCAAATGCTCCTTCATGGGGATGGAGAGAGAAGATAAGGAGAAAAAGGGCGAACAAGAGGGCCCTGTTTGCTGGTCACTCTCTGTCTTACCTTGTGTATAGAATGAAAGGCCCGTTCAGAAATTGTTAGTGGAGGGTCCGGTAATTCAAAATGCTTTTGATATATTGAGTAATGTTGGCAAAATTCTTCAAGTTTTCTGAGTTTCAGTTTCTCTGTTATACTTAGGTTAAACAAGCAAAAAGCTTTGAACAATTTCAGATTCTTTCCAAAATTCCGATGGGGCTTCTATAGAGAATATTGGTTACTTTGACATTATTGATCACATTGGCGGGCCCTGGATATGCTTGGGAGAACATTTTCATCCTTCTCATTCCTCAATCCAGTAAACTTGTGTTCAAAGAAAGAAGGAAGTAAAACTTAAAAATGCCCATATATGCCTCCCTGACCTTCTCACATACTGAATTTTAGTTACAATATTGAATATGTTCTCTGTGCCAATATAGCCTGTTACACATATTAGTCAGAAATCATCGTTAAGCCCAAATCCCACCAGGCTGGAGGGAAGGCGGCTGTCAGCTCACAGTCTATTCTGCATGGATGCCTTTGAACTTGCTGCTTCACCATCTATATGCCTGGCTCACGCTACACCTCACTGAGGTCTTGGCTTCTGTATGGCCTTCCCATGTCCCCAGCACCTGCACACCCCAGCACCCTCTCCCGCCTTCCCCACTCTCAGTCTGGATGGGCTCCTCTGACAAACTGCTCTGGATGCTTCTCACCCAGGGCCCGTGGTTCACGTGAGTCAGCAGAGCTCTGCTCCACACGGTCCCTCAGGGCCTAAATGGGTGAGCAGGTCCCATGGGCTCTTCCAGGGCCCTCCTAGGAGTGGCACACACCACTCTGCCTGTGTTTCACCTTCTCGTGAGTGAGGTGGCCACACCCAGCCCCAAACGAGGAACAGTCCTATCACATACCGGCAAGCAGGGAAGCTGTGGTATTTGGCAAACAGCACCAATGACTGTCATGATCTGTATCTAGCTGCTGAATATTAGCGTATCTGTTTCTCATCAGGGAAAAATACACTCTCCCATCTTCAAGGGAGGCAACTCAAAAGGTCAGCCTTGTCCTGGCCGAAGGTCAAGGTTGTGTATCCATGTGTATGTACCTGTTCTGGGAAAGACATCAAGTCTGGATGTGGTCTTCTTTGATCCACTGACCTGTCAACGAAGAAGACCTATCTGACCTCCGTCCCGCTCCAAACACGCAGTGTGTGTTCTGAGGTGGAAAGGGCCAGCCTGAGCCCCCACTGGGCAGATCCTGATGGGCTGGGTTCCCGGAGGTGAAGTTTTTCTTAGATTCAGCTCTAATTCTTTCCCTAGGGCGGGGCCCCTGAGGTATGTTTTCTCTCGGACTCTTGCCTCCATTGTCTGGGAATGTATTCTTTTTCCATTAACCATTTTTGCCATGGTAAGGTGGGCGTTGGATAATACACCTGCTTTGGGGTCCAAGCAGAGGCTGCCGTCTGCCCATGGAAGACAGGCAGGCAGCAGTACCACTCAATCTCAAGTAGTCATTTTTCTTCCTGACTTGTGGTTCCTTTGGCAGAACTTCCTTAAAACTGAGCCAACTTTCTACCTGAGGCCAGCTTTGCATGTGCACAGCCGCATCTGAGTTCTTTTCTCCAGGCAGTGCCAAGAGCTGCTGTGCATCTTTGCTCCTGCAGGCCAGCGCCACTCCCTCTCCCTGGCTCTCCTCTGGCCCTTTCTCTCTGAAGTATAGGTATCTGGGCCCTACAGCCTTCAGTGGAAGGGCCACACCTTAGTTTCTTTCCCTTGAGCCATATTTGCATAGTTAAAGACGTTACAGGGTGGCAACCTAATCCGTTTAGAGGCTTTAGCAGTGGGGGTGATTATTTCTGCCGCGTTGTTTCAGCAGGCGTTGCACTGCAAGCTGTGCTCCATGTTCTGCTGTAGAGATGAGGACGAGAGGCACTTGCCTCTCCCAGCCCCGCCAGACCTCAAGCATGCTTTGTCTTTCTTTCCTCTTTTATAACAGCTTTCAAATCACCGGGTTCTTTTGGAGATAATTTCCTTCCTGTGGTAACTTACCAAGCACAGAGAATAGCACTCAACGCATTCTAATTACCATTCCTTTTCCAACCTCTGCCCAGAGAGCTACCCGCTCCTTAGATGGGTTCTGTCTCATTAGAGGTTTCACCCATGCGAGGCACCGGGTGTCTGGCCTCCAGTCCCACATTCCTGAGCCCTAAGCATCAATGCTACCTGCTTTCATTTCGTTTCACCACTCTTTGAACCCCATTTTTGTATCAGTCAGCACATGCTAGGTTGTATGACAGAAGCACGCATGCACACACACACACGCTAACACACACACGTTCACTGTGTGGCTCTGAGTTCAGAGTCTGTCAGCGAGAGGCAGGCCACATTTTGGAAGGTGGGAACGAGGCTGAGGCCATTCGTCCCCAAGGGCACATTCAGACAGACACATGGACTTGGGAGGGTCCATCTGGTTGCTGAGATGCCACGCATGACCTGCCATGGCTGCTGAGCCTCAAGAGGCTTCTGGAAAAACTCGCTGAGAACCTGCTCCCAGCTGCTGCTTTCCTGCCGTTTGCTCCCCCAACTGCGCAAATGCTTACGCAAGACTCACATCACCTGTTCCATAATTCCCTCTGTGCTGGATGCGTGGATACCTTTTGTTTCCTCTAACTTGAATCCTTAGTAACGCACCAGCCTTATTTTTGTGTGTGGCGTGAATGACCACCAGCCTATTTATTTAAGGCCTGTCTTCCCTGAATAGAATATAAACTCTAGGAGGGAGGGGGTTTCTTGTTGGCACAGTGCTGGGTCTTCCTTGGTTTGAAAAGTGTGGCATACTCAGAGAAGCAAGGAAATGATGAATGAATGCATTAGTTAATGAAAGACCAGTTGAATTGTAAACCTGAAATTGAGTTGCCTATCACAGAAAGATTCTAAAATGGGAAACTCAGTGGAAATGGTAAATATGGGATTTGTTGAGAATCACAAAATTCAGACTCTGCAAAAGTGATACATTTATAATATCTAATGCATAACAAAAATTATGAAAGGTATAAAAATCCCTTACAATCAGCCTCTGCATCCCTCTTACCATGAACCTAAAATAATTCTTTAAACTGTGGTAAGGGGAATGGCCTCTGAGGCAGCCCAGTCTACAGGCACTTCTTTGAGTCTCCTAGAGTGCCCCTAGGATAGAATCAGCCCTAACTGTTTGATGGCTGCAGTAAAGTCTTACTGGGCACCGTGAACACTGCAGTGGCTTCAGCCCTGGGCCTTTGCCTCTGTAATTTGTACCTCTTCAGCCTGCACTTGGAATCGGCACTTGGCTTGGGTGGCTGTCCTCTCTACAGTTCTTGGTTGTATTTTATTTCTTACTTTTCTTTTTGTTTTGCTTTTTGTTGTTTGAGAAGACTCAAGTACAAATAGTCATAACTATTATATAAACGAATATGCATGGATCACTTGCTCTCTGCCAGGCACTAAGGGTGCTCATTTAATCACTTCCTTTTATCTTCATAACACCTTGAGGAGGTGGACACTATTGTGTCCCCCACTTTATAGATCAGAGAATCGAGGCTCCAGTAGGTCCTGCTACCTGTCAGGGCTTGGACTTGTGAGCCTAGGGTTTGCCTCCACACCCTGAAACAGATTCTACTGTCTCCCTTAGCTCTTCTTCACACTTCGTCTATTTATTGCAACTTAAGGTTTACGTTATGTCACATGATGTTACTATACTGTTGATGAATAATATCGGTCATCATTCACTGAGTGCTTGCCATGTTGAAGCAGTCTCTATCAGAAAGAGAACTGGGGAGGTGAGGATGTCGACATGGAGAGAACACAGAGCGTTTGACAAAGAGAACAAATTATACAGAACATTTATTAATAGAACTGCCTTGCCTCTCCTTCTGCTCTGTTTCAGGAATACCAAATTGACATATTTTTTGCTCAGACCTGGACAGATAGTCGCCTTCGATTCAATAGCACAATGAAAATTCTCACTCTGAACAGCAACATGGTGGGGTTGATCTGGATCCCAGACACCATCTTCCGCAATTCTAAAACCGCAGAGGCCCACTGGATCACCACCCCCAACCAGCTCCTCCGGATTTGGAATGACGGGAAAATCCTTTACACTCTGAGGTAAGATGCTGCGTCGATCTCCGATTACTCCTGGTTTAAAATGGGATCCTTAATTTGAATCGTTGTAGGAATGAGACCGGATTTTCGTCTCTAAGTCTATTCTCTTTCACGTGAGACATGCTACAGCATCCTGAGAAAGTTGGCCCTCATGCCACACGTGTAAAAATAAAAGCATACAGGTGATCCACAGAGAATATGAGCTCATTTCTTCAGAATCCATTTCTGCTGGAAGTAGGCTGTGAAAGTTATTCTTAATAGATTTACACCGTGGGTCCTCTCACCTAGGAAAAGACAGATGTCGGCGTACTAACCAACAAATGCAGTTTGAGTAAATCTGAGACCACAAGGAAGATGGGGAGAGTAGGCCCCTTTCCCAAGCACATCCCTGAGGGAAGTGGCAGCTCCCCTGGAGTGTGTCCTCCTAGAGGCAGGGAAGTCTTCCAAGAAACCCAGAGAGGTAAGGGAAACTGAGCTTCCAAGAAGGAAACTGACTCGCCCACAGTCACCACTGGGAGCCTGTCTCCCCCAGGTCTTTCTGCTGGGATGGTCAGAGTCTAACTGAACACACAGCAACACAGCACTAGCAATGATGGGCCCTCCACACTACTGTCTGCTCGCCCAGCACAGGGACTGGACGGTCCCTCCAGCAGTGTCCTTTGAGCGGTTGGTGCTGCTCCAGAGGGCACTGCACTCCCTTCTTCCTGATGGCTCAGAAGCCCTGGGTGCATCTAGCCTTTGCTCTCACCGGCTTGCTCTCACTGCCCCAGGGCACAGGGCTGCTTCTTGCACCTGCTCTGTGGCTACATCTCCCTGCTCTGCTCTTTCTGCCTCAGGGCTTGACCCCTGTCACTTTCCTCTCCTTACCCATCCTTACTGGCTTAGCTCATCCATCCTGAGAATGAAAGCCGTGTGCGTACTGAGATTTCCACAAGGAGAAATCTGATTCCTAACATTCAATAAATGTCCACAGCACACACATAGGCCCAGATGGACTTTAAAATAAGCAGACGGTGAGAGAGCGTTAAAGTTTCAGGGAAATCCTCGTTTTGCCAGGGAGGGAACAATTACAGCAAAAGAAGAAAAAAAGCCACAGCTGGGAACTGTGCGGATGAAATACGTTGAGAGCTGGGGTTTGTAGAAGTTGTCTCCTCATCAGTTGTACAGCCATACACCGGAGACTCTGACATGACATAAAGCCTCAGCAAGCCGGGGCCAAGACCCAGCCAGTTCTGGGACCCCGTGTAGACACTGAAGTATGAGGCTACTGCCCTGGGAGGAGGCAGGGCCCCCATTTGGCAGAGCCACCACCTGCCTAGTGAAATATGGGGCAGTTGTCCAAACAGGAAATCCCCCTGATGCGTGCATTAATTTGGCATAATAGCTGTTTAGATAAACACACCAGTGTCCAAATGGAGGAAGGATTTAATTCAAACAGATTGACAACAACAACTTATAAAACAACAGTTGGTTTTGTCTCCTCTCTGACTTGGCGTGTATTTCTAGACATAGTTGGAATTTTACTAACTGGAATTCTCTGTGCCACTGATAGTTAAAAGCAAAACAAAATAACCCAACATGAAAGCAACACAGCACAGTCTCGCCGTGAATGGTTCCCTGGCCAAGAGTGAACTGCGTGTGCTGCCCTGGGTGACAGAGCGGCCCTCCCCATCCCTACATGGGGTGCCGTAGCAGCCGCCAGCCTTGCCCCGTGCTGTTTGCCGACCTGGACTGACGCTTGGCTCTTCCGCAGGCTCACCATCAATGCCGAGTGCCAGCTGCAGCTGCACAACTTCCCCATGGACGAGCACTCCTGCCCGCTGATTTTCTCCAGCTGTGAGTACCAGTCCCAGCCCGGGGTGTGCATGCTGTGTGAGGGATGCCTAGCCTGGTGCTGCGTCTGTCAAACAGCCATGCGATTGATCACAGTGTCCCTGCACACACAGAGAAAACTGATGATGGTTTTGGTATTGACTACCTGGGCATTCTCACTCTAGACCTTGTCGCATAAGAGCCACGTTACAAAATAGGTGATCTCGATAAGGCTGTGAGCAACTTGACCATCCATAACATGGAAACATTCAGAAACTGATCAACAGTTGATTTACCAAAAGACCCTTATGCTAATGAGCTGTGCATATTATTCGGTAGTATACAAAATTCCTACGTAATATTTTAGATTTAACATTATCTTTTTTAAATTTATTTTTAATTTTTATTTCTTTATTTATCTATTGAGACTGAGTTTTGCTCTTGTCACCCAGGCTGGAGTGCAGTAGCACGGTCTTAGCTCACTGCAACCTCTGCCTCCCGGGGTTCAAGTGATTCACCTGCCTCAGCCTCCTGAGTACCTGGGACTGTAGGCACGTGCCACCACGCCCAGCTATTTTTGTATTTTGTATTTTAGTATATTTGCATTTTTGTATTTTGTATTTTTGTATTTTTAGTTGGGGTTTCACCATGTTGGTCAGGCTGATCTCGAACTCCTGACCTCAGGTGATCCACCCACCTCGGCCTCCCAAAGTGCTGGGATTACAGGCGTGAGCCACCGTGCCTGGCCGATTTAACATTACCTTAAAGCAAGGTGATTTGTCTACTAAGTAGAAAGATACACATTTTTCTTTAATTTTACTTACATTTGTTTCATTGAACCATTGTAAGATGATTTAATTTTTCATAGTATTTTATCTTCCAACGTTTTACTTATAGTAGATATCATAGTTATCAAGTAATCCTTTACAAGTTCCTAAAGACAACATCTACTGCTAAGTATAAGAGTATATATAAAAGGAATATCAAATATCAAATCTATACAATTTTTAAGTTAAAATCAAAACGGAAAGATATCTGGTGAATGAATTTACAATGGGGCATTTTAAATGAATTAATCACAAGTATTTATGTATGACTCATAAGAATTCAGTTTATTGTATTGGCTTTCTTTAAAATTGCATATGGGGCCAGGCGCGGTGGCTCATGCCTGTAATCCCAGCACTTTGGGAGGCCGAGGCATGTGGCTCACAAGGTCAGGAGATCAAGACCATCCTGGCTAACACGGTGAAACCCCGTCTCTACTAAAAATACAAAAAATCAGCTGAGCGTGGTGACGGGTAACTGTAGTCCCAGCTACTCTGGAGGCTGAGGCAGGAGAATCGCTTGAACCCGGGGGGCAGAGGTTGCAGTGAGCTGAGATCGTACCACTGCACTCCAGCCTGGGTGACAGAGTGCAACTCTGTCTCTAAATAAATAAATAATAAATAAATAAATAAATAAATAAATAAATAAATAAATAAAATTGCATATGGAACATGACAAACAAATCTGATGAAATCTCATGTAGAAGTTTTTGTGGCTTTCTTCATTGAACATTATTGATCTTTCCCTGAACCTTCAAATGAACTGTAAAATATGTTCATCTCTTATTTTACTTTTGCTTCTGTTCCTTGCATGTGTGGGGCCTGTGGAGGCCCAGGTCCAGGTCTGCAGAGATCAGCAGAGCTCTGCACACTATGCATGTGTTCTCACCAGAAACCTTATTTCTTTCTGTAATAGCTTCCCTCATTCTGTCATGCTGTAAAAATGTGTTTAAATCACTCACAGAGCCTTTTAAGTGCTCAGTTCCAGGAGGGGATTGTGCGCACGTGGACTTACACAACACTGCCAGAAAGAAAAGTGCTTGTATAAATTGTTTTAAAAAGATATTTATAGCAGTAACATAAATTCTTAAAGACAATTCACACATACTCGGGGAAATACGTAAAAGCAAATGCCTTTCTGGAATTAGTTGACAATGAGCATAAAGTACTAGGAATAAATCTGGAGAGTAGTAAAAACGGTTTGTGAGACCAGCCACATCTGTTTCCCTGTCTCTGGTGTGTCGTGGTAGTGATGGTGGTCAGAGCAGACGTGGGAGCCTGTCTCTGGTATGTCGTGGTAGTGATGGTGGTCACAGCGGACGTGGGAGCCTGTCTCTGGTGTGTCGTGGTAGTGATGGTGGTCAGAGCGGACGTGGGAGCCTGTCTCTGGTATGTCGTGGTAGTGATGGTGGTCAGAGCGGACGTGGGAGCCTGTCTCTGGTGTGTCGTGTAGTGATGGTGGTCAGAGCGGACGTGGGAGCCTGTCTCTGGTGTGTCGTGGTAGTGATGGTGGTCAGAGCGGACGTGGGAGCCTGTCTCTGGTGTGTCGTGGTAGTGATGGTGGTCAGAGCGGACGTGGGAGCCTGTCTCTGGTGTGTCGTGGTAGTGATGGTGGTCAGAGCGGACGTGGGAGCCTGTCTCTGGTATGTCGTGGTACTGATGGTGGTCAGAGTGAATGTGGAAGCCTGTCTCTGGTGTGTCGTGTAGTGATGGTGGTCAGAGTGAATGTAGGAGCCGGGGGTGGACAGTCTTATATACAGTGACAGAAAGTGGCACTTCTAATGCGTGAGCAAAGAAAGGTTATTATATCTGAAAATCAGGGAGTGGCAGGATCAAATTTACGTTCAGCAACCGTTTAAGATCTTATAAGAGCAAAACTGGATGTACACGGTTATATGGCAGAAAATCTGAAACACTGGCAACCTTAAATGCGGTGGGGATGTGGGGCAGCAGGAACTCTCACTCACCGCTGGGGGAATGCACAGTGTCACAGCCCTTTGGAAGACAGCTGGGTCGTCTCTCACAGAACTAGACATGCTGGTACTATATGATCCAGAATTTGTACTCCTTGGCATTTACCCAAATGAATTAAAACTTATGTCCACACCAAAACCTGCATACAGGTGTTTATAGCAGCTTTATTCATAGTTGCCAAAATTTGGAAGCAACCAAGATGTCCTTTGATAGGAGAATGGATAAACAGACCACAGCACATTCATGCAATGGAATATTATTCAGCACTACAAAGAAAGGAGCTCCCAAGCCATAAAGAGACATGTAGGAAACTTAAACACCTATTTCCTAAGTAAAAGAAACCAATCTGAAAAGGCTGCATACTCTGATTCCAACTATATGACACTCTGGAAAAGGCAAAACTGTAAAAGCAATAGAAAGGTCAGTGGTTGCCAGGGGTTGTGGGCAGAGGGAGGATTTTTAGGACAGTGAAACTATTATATATGATACTGTCACGTTGGACATATTTGTCAAGCACATAGAATGTACAACGCTAAGGATGAATGCTAAAATCAGTCCCTGGACTTCAGGTGATAACGACATGTCAATGTAGGTTCATTGATTGTAACAAATGGACTGCTGTGGTGGGGATGTTGATAGCTGGGGAAAGGAGTACTTGGGAGCCCTGTACTTTCTGCTCAATTTTTCTGTGAACCTAAACCTGCTTCTTTTTTTTAAAGTCTAGTAAAAAAAAAAATTATTGGCGGTAAAGAAATCAATTAGGAATCTATTGCTGTCATAAACCACAGTGTTCCATAATATCAAATTTAAAAAATATCAAATTAAAAAAAAACTTGGTTTCCCAAAATACAAAAGAGTGCTTTAAAGTATAAGTTTTTGAACCACTTTACATGTGTAGCATTAATTCATATGTATAGGATTCACTATTCATAAATGAGAATAATAACACTCTCCTAATGAAAACACTCATTGGTAACTTGGAGTGATGGAGGATACTTGCATCTAAATCAGTTTGGTGCCTAAGTTGTTTCCACATGATGGGTGTCCACTTTCAGGAAGACACCGATTCTAATACCAATAAGCAATTGAAAGTGAAGTGAGCCGGGTGCAGTGGCTCATGCCTGTAATCCCAGCACTTTGGGAGGCCGAGGCAAGCAGATCACGAGGTCAGGAGTTCAAGACCAGCCTGGCCATTATGGTGTATCTCTACTAAAAATACAAAAATTAGCCAGGTGTGGTGGCATGTACCTGTAATCCCAGCTACGTGGGAGGCTGAGGCAGGAGAATGGCTTGAACCCAGGAGGCAGAGGTTGCAGTGAGCCGAGATCATGCCACTGCACTCCAGCCTAGGCAATAGAGTGAGACTCCATCTCAAAAAAAAGAAAGGAAAGAAAGTGAAGTGGTGTCCATGTTTGTGAACAGTTAACCTTGCAGTGTCCTGATATTTTTCAATTAAATACACTCAGAAGCTGTATTTTTCCACTTAAAAATTTTACAATAACAAAGTTGAACAACTAGTTATATTCACTATCATACAAATGGAAGTTAGAAAAACTGCCCAAAATGTACAGTAAGATATAAAGTGATCGTAAAATTGACTAACAACTGTTAGGCTGGTCTTGGCTCTCTGAGTAGCAGAAGCAAAACCTCTCAAACAATGACAAGTATGTAAGATTTTCCAATATATGCACAGAGATGAGGCAATAACATTTGCTATATAACATGTTTGGGTAATGGCTTTAACTTTTATTTTTAAATAGTTGAGATTTTCGAAATAATATTTTAATTAATTAAAAATTTCCTATAGCACTTTCTGTAGTCATTGAGGTTAAGGATCACATTTTAAAAATTCCTAAAATGTACTTTAAGAGGTAATGTTGTAAGTTTATTTAAACTTGTTAAAATTATTAAAACTACATTTTAAATTGCTTATATGGATGAATTAAAAGTGAATTTGATATGGACTCTTGGGCAAACATTTTTGGTGTCTAGAACTTGGCCATAATTGTGTAGTTAGTGCACTCATAGAAATTGAACCATAAAGAATATTCAATTGCAAACAGCATTGTTTTATTCATTTCCTGTTACTCCTGCAACAAATTACTGTAGCCTTAGTGACTTGAAACAACATAAATTTAATATCTTACATTTCTGTAGATTAGAAATCTGAACTGGGCTAAAATCAAGGTGTGGGCAGGGCAGCATTGCCACCTGGAGGCTCTGGGG